AGAAAAGGCCATTCTTCTGGCAACAACACTCCTCCAAGTTTGGCTGATTCCTTCCAAACCGTTTACAACAAGCACATGGAACGTTCTACTTATATGGTACAAGTTCTGAAGTTCATTTCCTGCACTAGTTTCATAACCCTGGTTTTTTCAATAATCAAAACATTAACACTCTACTGTCGTTCTTTTTGGCCCATATGATGTGCATGGCGGTGAGATTTTCTGAAGCCACGAAGTTGTCACTGAAGAAAACTGTTCAACGTCAGGACCCAAGTGGGAAATTGTGGACAATTTCTGTAATCTCGGTAGGGAAGGGGCTTCAGGGACGGTTCAGTAATGGGTGGCGTGCCTTGGCTGCTGCGAACGGCGTGGCTGTCTGAGACAAAATCGAGTTCAGCTACAGGCCCGAATCGGGTTTGATCCAGGTGAAGATACACAAAGAAAGGTGTGATGTTGGCAACGATCCTGAAGTTGGGAGGAAACGGCCATGGAAGAGAAGTGGATTTTGTCGATCTAGAAAGGATCGCAGTGGTTGATTGAAAAAAAGGTGACTTCACTATTCTAGTGATTGGTTTAACCTAGAAACTAATTGTACTCTTATGGGATTTTCAAGAGACCAATGTTGTTTAGGATTAAACTTACTACCTTCTTGTTTGTGGCTCATGGTGGGTACTGATGAAAGATGTTATATGCCCTTGGAGTTGTCTTACATATGATGGATTGTAATGATCTTGTGAACATGGTGTATGGATGACATGGATTGGAGTTCAGTAGAGGAAGCAAATATCTTTTGGGTGTAATTCTGCAGACTGCTGTCATAGCTTTCATGATTCGGGTGTGTTGTAGAGTATGTTATCATATGATACTAGAACTTGTTTGGTGTACTTGTCTTCTTTTCTTAGAAGGAAAATTGAAGTTTGATAGTAGCGTGAACTGCTTGTGTTGTCAATGATGGTCAGATAAGTTTGAACCATAAATAGTTCTGCTTAAAATAATCACTAATTAAGTGTTAGTATATGTTTTAGGTAAATATGTAATGACATGATGCTACTTAGCAAGAATTATTTACGAATGCAACATACTTTTAATTGTCAACAATTGTTAACTCTTGATTTTATGTGATTTATATCAACATAGGGGAATTGTGCTTTTTATTCTTAGCTAAGGGTATCGCATCTCCTCGAGAGCTTTATTTTGAGTTAGTAACACTTACTATGCTTGTTTGGATGCCATCGTGATTGTCATGGTGTTGTATCATATGTTTTCATCTGATAGCAGAAATTGTCAGATGCACTATTTTCTCTCTTTAGAAACAAAAGCGACATCTAATAAAGTATGAGTTGCTTATATTACCAATAGAGGCCGAATAAGTTTGAACTATGTTTAGATCTTCTCAAAAAAATTGTTAATTTAATGTTCACGTATATTGCAAATAAAGATGGAATGATTGGATTCTTTATAGCACACAGTAATTAGGCTCCTGTTTTGTGTAATTGTGCACACGGGCTCCTCGTTTGGGCTAAAATATGGTTCTGTAGGCTTCAGTTTTTTACATTAAGAAAAGGATACAATGATGAAATTGCAGCTAATGGATTATATCACTTTGTTTCATTTCCGACCCACAGTAAATTTCACAAAGAAGGGTCCCTTTGTTTTTTTCAACACTACTAACATGGAACAGTACTAGCAGAATACACAAACAAAAGCATACATCCACTGATTACATAACATAACATTACACATCACAGTACAGTCTACTACAAGCTGTCATTTAACCTAGCAATCCATTAAGGCTAGACCCATAAAAATCCCCAAAGAGTTGGGAGAACTCCTAAAAATTCCTAACAAGCCTTTTTAGACACATCACAGTACAGTCTACTACAAGCTGTCGTTTAACCTAGCAATCCATTAAGGCTAGACCCATAAAAATCCCCAAAGAGTTGGGAGAACTCCTAAAAATTCCTAACAAGCCTTTTTAGACCATCCACATCTATGAAGTAGAATTTTTATTTCATATGTGGCCCCATGATGTCACTTCACCAACTTTTATCATTTTAAAACATATCAATTTCATTTCTCGTGCATCAATGCAATCTACTTTTTATTTCATATGTGGGTCCAATTTACTTATGTAATACAACTAAATATTTATCCAAATTATTTTACAAATAAAGGAAAACCAAATATAAAAATGGAAGACAAAACATGAGAACAAGGCCCATTTGCAATTTCATTTGGTGTTTCACTTCAAGAAATATTTCAGAAATGAAATGATGGGCTACATCAATGAAAGAGCAAATTACATTGCCACCTCACTATGAAATGAGGAAGAGACAGTCGATGCAACTGCTCTTAGGAGGCACAACAAATCCTCTCAAAAGGTAGGATGAATCCCTTACAACCTCAGCAAATGCTAGATTTTCTATTGGAAGACCGAAAAGGGAAGCCTATAAACAAAAACAAAATTATTATTGGTAGTAATAACATGGCGGTAAGAACATACAAATCATCATTTATCATTGTCTACCACTCGTCACCACCATCCTACCATTGTTATAGAGGGTGCAGAAGTGGTATAATTAGTTTAAAAAAATTCATAAACATCTTGAGAATTTATCTTATTTTGTAAATCACAGCAAATTAGATTCAAATCGATGACTTAATCGCGTTGATCCACGATCCATTGAGTTTCCACAAAGAAGGATTGGAGACAAGGGAAGAGGAAGCACAATAAAGGAGATAAGAGAAGACTCAATTGAAAAAAAAAACACATAGCATTGTCTTTTAAAAAGCAGTAAACCAACACATATCCGACCAAGGCGTATGCATCAGTTACAATAGTAGTGTGCATCTCATTATCGCCATAGTTGTTGATCTTTTATCACACGAGAATTTTTCAAAGCATGAAGAAGAAGAAGAAGAAGCAAATGTAATCTACGACGGAGTAAGCATGTCAAAGTCCCTCTGGCGAGGGAGGCAATATATAGCTCCATTGAAATCCTTGGCAATTAAGAGATATTGTCATAGATGTCTTGAGCTACACTCTAGACCCATAAAAATCTCCATAGAGATAGGGGGAACTCCTTAAAATTCATAACAAGTCATAGGAGGCACAACAAATCCTCGCAAGAGGTAGGATGAATCCCATACAAGTTCAGCAAATCATTGGAGGTCTAGGATCTTGCATATTACCCTCTCACTCAAGTACATGGCGCGTGGGTAGGTTAATCCCCTCTAAAGTTAATATGTACTTTTACTTATATCTAATTTCAACGTTGGAGGGTCCCACAGTCGCTTGGTTCTGGGGTTTGTTTTATAAATATCTTTTTAAGGATCTTCACTAAATGCTAGAAAGACTGGAAGAACAAAAAGGAAAGCCCAAAAACAAAAACAAAATTATTATTGTTGTTGGTGACAAAAATATACTAACCACCATTTATCATCGTCTACCAGTGTTCACCACCCTTCTAACATTGTGATAGAGGGTGGTAGTTAGAGGTGGTATAATTAGGTAACAAACAAAGGGTACTTACTACATATTAGTCAAACCTTTTTTGCATTCTTTTTTATCAGTCAAACCTATTGAATTACTAATAATTAGCCAAATCATTTGTAATGCATCAAAATATTAACCATTTTTCTATTACCGTTAATAATTTTCTAACTCCTTTCTTAGTTAAAATACTAAAGTTTTGGATTGTTTACCTTCATGTGTCTTTTCTAAGTCAGTATCATGTTGTCAAGTCAATATTACTAATAAAATTGCTAACTGGAAATTGATATTTGACTAATTATTTGTAATTCAATAGATTTGACTAATAAAAAAGAATACAGAAAATGTGAGGCTAATAATTAGTCTTTACCCAAAAATAAACATATTGAGAATTTATCTTATTTTGTAAATCACAACAAACCATATCCAAATCGACGACTTAATCGCATGATCCATAGTCCTTATTGATCTACTATCCATTGAGGTTCCAGGAAGAAGGATTGGGGACAAGGGAAAAGGAAGCACAACAATGAAAAGACTCAATGAACAAACACGCATAGTACTCTCTTTTTAAAAACAAAAACCATCACAGATCCAACACAGGGATGCATGCATAAACATCAGTTACAGTAGTGCACATCTCATTATCGCCATAGTTGGCCGATCTTTTATTAAAAGATAATCTTGCAAAGCATGAAGAAGAAGAAGAAGAAGAAGAAGTGACCCTTGTACTATGTCATCGATCATGTTTAAAAGAGACGATTGAACCTCAGAGCTTAAGTTGGGGCAGATAAGAGTTACCATCAAAGCCCTTTTGTAGGATTTGAAAAAGAATTCTTCAATGGAAATTTCTCGGTATATGGGAGGATTTTCTTCTGATAACAGCTCTTTTATAGGTCCATACATTCTTGATTTCAATGTAAACCCATTACCAAAAGAACAAACTGTTGATACTCTTGGTTCAAGATTGTTTACGATCACTCTATGCTCCACGCTTTTAAACTTATCGTTCGATATCAGCTGCAAAAAAAATGAATTTATCATGCTATAAAATTTTGTATCTAAATCTAGGAAATGGTATATCCAATATTGTCAAACCGCTTTAAGGCGTTGAGCTAGTCAAGTAAGCAGTTTGAGATTCAATGGATTTATCAGGGTCCAACTTGTTTGAACCGGTCATATATCTTTTATATATATACACACACAAAAAGGTAGTAATTCAAAAAAATTTAACGACTGAAATAAATTTACCTTACATATATCATTTAGCAGTTTTACATTAAATATATATGCAACCCATTAAAACACTAACCCCATCTCATTCGGTCATTCCATTTCAAAACAACAACATTTTGTAGTTGAGGCGAGAAATCACAAAAAGTCATTCAAACACCGATTTTGACCAGTTTTGATTTACTAGCACTCAAAATGACTTGTTTGAGACCACTTTCGAGTATGATAGTGGTTGGGTACTAGTTTCTTTGTTGTAAATTAAACGATTCATCAAAATTCAAACATGTACCTGAAGCATATCTCCCATGTTGACCACTAAAGCCTCCAGAACCGGAGGCACATTGACCCAGTGACCTCGATGAACAACTTGCAGACCTCCGACGTGGTCTTGGGAAAGAATCGTGATGAACCCAATATCGGTGTGGTGGGTGATTCCCAGAGCGAGCTCCGGTTGAGGACAATGAGGATAGTAGTTGCAGGCTAATCCCATTCCTTCCGCGCAACCCATCTCCTCCTTCAAGTGATTCGCAGCAAGACCCAACGCCTCCGACAGTAGCTCCAGCATCAAGCCCCCGACCTTGGATATTTCCTCAGAGAATTCCTGCACGTTTTCCCTTATGCAAGCCGGGATTTGCTCCGGCTCTAGTGGCTCTGGCGCCATGTTCAACAGGATCACATCGCTTCAATAGGCAACTGGCGTTGTGTACAGGCCGTAGTTAGACGTGTACACGACCTTTGACATCGGCTCGGCGCGGAAGTACTCCTTCTTTGCTTCCGCGTCCTGGTTGAAGAACTGGTGCGTCCCGGCTCTGATCCTGTTCTGGGTGCTTGTCGGGACACCGTGGTTCACGACCTGGAAGAAACCCCACTTTGCCGATGCGTCCTGATCATTAAACCAACAAACCACTTAGGTACAATAACTCTTGGAGAAAATATTTGCAAGAGGTTTATCTCTTACATGGCCCCTCAAATAAAAATCTGTTTGGGGAGGCTTTTGAGATTAAGGGGCCGTTTGGTTTTCATGATACTTAAATCAATTTGTTGTGATTAATTCATTCATTGTAATATACATGTAATTAAGGGATGTACTTTGCATTGTTTGGATTTGGTGATATTTCTTTTACTTTTTGTGGGAAAGATCACTTTTGCCCTTGCTGTTATTAAAATATATAGGTGGTTCAGGCTAGCGTACGCACGTCGAGTTTTACTATTTAGATCACAAATTAAACGGAGTTTGGGATATGATAATATATCCTAACCTCTAATTGGTGAACCCAGTTCCTAATTCTCTAACCCAAGCAACAAGATTCATTTAATCTAAAAATAATAACCGATGGTTCTGATTCAACAAAATATATTAAATTGCAAAAATCAAATGTGAACACAGACATACGCTAGCCTTTGCCATATACCTAGGGGTAAAATTGGAACAAAAAAGGAACCAAACAATTCTCTCAAAACTATCTCAACAATCTCAAGTTTAGTAGAGATATTACTATCACTCATTTTGAGTGATAGTTTTCATCACGTCAAGCAAACAATGCATGTATTGTTTGTGCAAAAAATTAAAAAAAAATACAATGCATTATGGACAATGTTTGTATTGTAATTATTTCAACCAAACAATCACCAAAACCAAACAACTCTTAAGCATGTTATTTTGTATGGTGCTCATTAGACTTTTTAGTTTGCGCAGGTTGAAACATATATTAGACTTTTTTGTCTCTTACGCTGAATTTTTGGACGATTCGTTTCCGCTCCTCGAGGTCGTGATCGGCTCTCGCACCTGCCAGGTCGATTACAGGGACGGAGAACTCCGGGTCACCGGCAGGAGCTGGAGGTCTGCCGTTGAGGAAATGCGGCGGCGCGTGGAACATCCGGGGTAGCTCTTTGACTCCGGCGTCCACTAGGCCCTTCACTCCGGCTTTTGTTGCGCTGAATGCCTTCTGCTCCGCCAGCCGATCATAGCCTACATCGGTGGTGGCCATTATTTTTTCTCCCTGATTCTGGTTATTTTTTTAATGCTCTCCGAGAAATTGATTAACTTGGCCAACTCTGAATTGGTTTTTTTATAGACCATCGCCGGGGGTTCTTCCTGTTGATTACCCTTGAATGCAGAAACTAATTACCGCTAAAGGACATAGGACATTTGACTTTTTTATTAAAAAAAAATCACACTTATAATGATATCATTTCGACCGGCCTTTGGCCGGCATTGTTATGGACGTGTGATTATGTTATTTGACCGGCATTTGTTTTTTTTTTTTTTTAATTTGACCTATATTTGTTCGTTTCTCGTCTGTTAATTTTGTGAGCAAATGTCAAATTTGGTTACTGAATTTATTAAAATGTGTCATGTTTAGCAATTGAAAAATATTATTATCAATTTGGTGATTCGAATTAGTAAAACCGTTCACGTTTAGTCATCTAGGGCTTTATTGCCTGCCGGTTAGCGAAACTTTTCCGGTAGTACGAATCGTTTTGCTTCGCTTCTGTCTATATGATAATATGCACCTTGGTTGCTGCGCTCGCTGCGGGTAATAGCAAAAGAGTAAAGAACGAATGATCCTCCAAACAAAAAAAATGGATTGAGACCTGCCATTCCAGCGCAAGGAGCTTCCGAGCTGCCGCGAACAATAAGTAGTGTGGGTGTCTTACCGTGGCTGACTGCAACAACTAAATTGCTATACTTGAGTAAGTTTGTAGTACCACCTGACGAACGCCAGCATCCCAAGCGATTTTTAGGCCATAATCCCCGCCAATTCAACGCGGGTTATGGAGCCTCTACGTTAACTTTATCTGATGTGGCAGTCAACCCTAACAGTAAACCGTTAAATATCTGACTTGATTATTAAAAATTAACAAAAAATAAATTGATTTCTTCTAATATTTCCACATCATTAAAAACAATAAAAAAAAAACCCTTCCCCTGATAAATCACCACCATCGACGTCAAGAACTTCATCGGATTCCCAAAAGGAATCATGGACCGCTGCCGTAGCCAGTCCCTCCGAATCGGTACCCACCTCCGATCACGGCCAGCGGCTTGTTCGTGAAAATGGGGACGGCTGCTTCAAGATGGGTAGTCCTGTAAATCATCGTTATCTATGACGACCTCGCAAACGCCAGTGTCATCCCTCCATCGATCTCTTCAAAAGCACGACCCAAAATCGCCGGCATCCTCCCTTCCCTTCACGTTGTCGTCAAGGAAATCAATGAAGAAGATGTATGAAACCCTCGCTCGCTCTTTTTAAACCCTAAACCCTTAAATCGCTCCATCAGTCCCTCAATTCTTGTCTCAAATCCCTAAACCCGTAAATAAATCGAAGAAACCCTAAACCCAGATGTTGTTCGGAATCCTAAACCCATGCAATCAATTGTCTTTGGCCTTACCGTCTAAGTACAGGTCAAAGGTCATGGAGGGGAGGTTGGGGAGGACTGGTCGGCGGGTAGGGAGGGTCCAATGGAGGGTCGGCAGCTTTCTTCTATGGAAGAAAAGGAAGAGCAGTAACAAAGTTTGGGGAGAAGATTACAAAGTTTGGTTTTATTTATTTTAGTTTTTATTGTAGTGATGTGAAAATATTAAGAGAATTAAATTAATTTTTTAATTGCCACGTCGGACATTTAGCAGTCAACTGTTAGGGTTGACTGCCACATCAGATAAAGTTAACGGAGGGTGACTAAACTAGGATCGTTTTATTAATTCGAGTGACCAAAAATGATATTAACTTTTTCAGTGACTAAACATGACACATTTTAGCAAACCCAATGACCAAACTTGGCATTTACCAGTTATTTTTCGATTAAAAACACTGATAATAGCATTTTTTATATCTTCTAATATTACAAATTAACAAACATAGCTCTATACATTTATTTTGCACAAACATGCCTTTAACTATAAGCATGTAAGTACAATTAAAAACGAATTTTTGCTCCGATTTTCCCGGAGCAGCAGGAAAAAACCCTACGCGAGAAAGTTTTAGGCGCCGCCGAGTTCCAATGACCGGGCCTGCGCCGGGGGTTCCTCCCTCAGCCGCTAGCTTGGCCGACATAGGTACCGGCACTCGACGACCACCGACGTCCTCTCCTAATGGCAAGGGGGAGAGGGAAACGCAACAACTGAAGAAAAAGGCTAAACCTATGGTTGACAACCCATTGTTTGGTGTGGAGGCAATGGCAGAAGATGTGCAGACTTCTCCGTCACGAGAAGAGGCGCCGGCGCAGCACGGCAGCCAAAAACAACATGGAAGGGAGATGGAGCCCGCCGCCTGTTTACAAACCATTATGAGGAAGATAAGTGGTACGTGGCAGACTCGGATTCTGAGGATATAGCTGCAACTATGCGGGAAGATGACCTAGATGATGAAATACCGGAGGACGATGATCCTCGCTGCCCTACGATCGCTTTCACGGCAATGGAGAAGCAACGATGGAGGAGAGAATGGCGGTCGGCTCTCATTGTCAAAGTGCTGGGGCGCTCCTTCCCGTTCCCTGTCCTTGCCCGGCGGCTAGAAACTCTATGGGCGAAAATGGGCAACATTCAAATCTCGAGTTTGTCCTATGGGTTTTACACTGTCCGATTTACAAACCAGATTGACTACGAACGAGCTGCTGTTGGGGGACCGTGGATGATTGGAGATTTTTACATAACGGTGAGGCCATGGTGTCGTAACTTCAACCCAAAATTGGCTGAGGTGGCGTCAACTTTGGTCTGGGCACGTTTACCGGGTCTTCCCAGGGAATTCATTAACAAGGAGGCCGTTGAACGAATTGCTGGGAAAATCGGACGGCCAGTTAGAGTGGACAATGCAACGGAATCGGGAGATCGTGGAAAGTTTGCCAGGGTCAGTGTGGAGGTAGACCTGACAAGACCTTTACTATCGCAATACAAGATCGAAGGCATCACCTACTTCATTGAGTATGAAGGACTATTTCGGATTTGTACTGAATGTGGAAAATATGGCCATGCATCGTCAACATGTCCAATGGTTGTCAAGAATGCCGAGGTCCCTCAGACCGAAGCTACCAGCCCACAGGAAAAGGGCAGTCCCACGTCCCTTTATGGGGAGTGGATGACAGTCAAACCTAAAAATAGAAACGGAAGGAACGGCCATGGTAGAGTGGTTAGCAGTGAGAATGGGGGAATAAGGAGTGAGACGTCGAGCCCGCTGGAAAATCAGAATAATGGATCGAGATTTGCAGCTCTGAATGAAGATACTACTGCCATGCAGGCCATGCAAGCCACTGGTGGAATCACGACTGTAGCTAACAACGCCCAGAGGGAAATTCCGGAAGTTACTCAGGACGTACACTACAAAAAAGACAGGCAGAAGTGACGGAATCCTTTTGACGACACTGTTTTTTGGTTGGAAATAAACTTTTTTGTGACAAAAATTTATAGTCCTCATAAAAACGTAAAATATTTGTGACAAACATCAATCCTCGTCAATAAAGCCCAAAACATTTGTCACTAAAAGTGAAAATAACAAATATGAGGAACGTCATCTAACTTTTACTAAGGACATTTCAACTTTTGTCACAAATACAAATTAATTATGACCAAATTGAAATAGGCGTCAGAAATAATATGTTTTTCTGACGCCGAAAAGGAGGGGAAAATTCATGAATATTATTTTTTGAGGACACAAATTTTTCATCAGAAAATGTTGTTGGAAATAGTATTATTTGTTAGGAATTTCCCTATCTCTCAGAAAGACAAACGTTTTTATGAGGGAACGTATTTGGTCTCGATAAAAGTTTGTTAGAAAAGTGACTCGACAAAATGGCCATCACAAAGGATTATTTCGTTGCAAAAACTTCGTGAGGAAAACACTTTCTGTGAAGAATTCATATGTCGTCAATAATATGCAAGCAACGTTGTCACATATAGAACATTATTTACAAATTTCGCTTGTCGGAAAAATTTCTTTACATAAGAACAAATTCTTAGTTTTAAGAGATGAAATTGAAAATAACCTTAAAAAAAAGGTCATGGATGTACTCGAACCATGGATCTCTTGTTCTCAAAACATAGTCCTAACCAATTAGACTAGTAACATTTTATGTTAAATACATGTTTCGTTGAGTATTTATTCCTAACAAAAATCTATAAGCAACAAAGAGCTCTCTGCCTTCTCTGCAAATTCATTCCCTTTCTTCCTCTGTAATAAACGAAGGAATCCCAAAACATTCCCTTTCTCCACTTGTGTTCAACGACGATAGAATTGGTGGTTCTGGGTTTGCAACCGACAACGATGGGTGGTGATTCTGGGTTTGCATCCGACGACGATGCAATTGGTGGTTTCTCCACTTGTGTTCGGCGGCAATAGACATTACCCTTTTTTTAACTAAACTCTAAACCCTGAATCCTGAACCCCGAATCCTGAACATTCCCTTTCTCCACTTGTGTACCTTAAACCCCGAATCCTTAAACCTAGAACAAAACTGAACCCTATCTTGTAAAACTCTAAACCATAAACCCTAAATCTTGAAACATGTAAAAAACATTACCTTGAACCTATAAAAAAAACTTTACCCTGAGTCAGCGAGTGGGGTCCAGGAGCAACGCCCCGCTCAGGGGGTTCGGGGGGCGATGCTTCCCCGGATGGGGGCACGAGGGGCATAAACCCTGAATTTTAACGCCCGCTACCTATAAACTTTCCATTCTATTAACACCAAACTTGAACTCTAAAACCACAAACTTTATAACCCTAAAACACTGAACAGTAAACTCTAAAGTGTAAAACCCTAAACCTTAAGAACTTCCTCTAAACCCTAAAACCTTTAACGCGCTACATAAAGGCATAGTTAGTTAGTAAATACCTGTACGTATTATATTCGTCCAAAAACTTATGTATCCGTTCTAAACACGTATAAAACCCATATAACAATGTTAATATCCATATATAAAACCTGTACTTATTTTTATCTATTTAATACTTCTTGTGCCATATTTTACTTAGAATAGCTTACTAACTATTAATTAAAATTGTTTTGTGTCCATCCGTGTATAGAGTAAAATTCTT